CAGTCCCAGCTCCAACAACATCCTCACTCGCTTTACAAAGTGGCTCCAGAGAGGTGAGGAGGAAGTTTAGCAGGGTCGGCTGCAGCGACCCGCTCTCCCACCGGCAGCCCTGGCACACGAGGCAAAGCCCACGCTGCTCGCGGGGGTCCCACACACCTCACCCTGGGCCATCGGCTCGGCAGCTCAATTCTGTCTCACACCAAGAAAGGCAGAATAGAGCTGGTGAGACTGTCCCCACCACCTGAGGAGAGAAATCACGATCTTGGTGTTAACGGCAAAAGCTTGGTCCTGCTCAAATCAATCAGCCCCAAGGTCCCAGAGAAGCCATCTAGCATCCTCTGAACACAAGCACACGCGCTCCGCAGGCTTTCAGCCACCAGCCATGCTGTGAAATGCCCAGATGCAACCCAGAGACTTACCTTCTCCACCCAGAAAGTGATTTCTCTGCAAGACATTTGCAGAACAGGAGCGATGAACTCGCAGGTGACATCCACTTGCATTAGCTGCACCTTCCCCACCTTGTTCCCCACGATGCCATGGCACAGCAGCCGCTCCTGCACCACCTGCGGGCAAGAGTCACACCAAGAGAGCATCCAGAAAACATGTGGTGTTTGCCAGCCACCCAACCATGGCCTGTGTTGCTGACAGAAAGTTACAGTCACTGGTCTCCTCAGCATCCCCCTTTTCTCTTTCTGCTGCATCCTATTTATTCTGCACTCCAATGTCTGTACTGCTGCACCCCAGCATCCACAAAAGGCATGTGCAAGCCGTGTGCTGTCTACAATCATCATGATTACTGCTCCAAATGATTGCTTTGATGCGCTCCGTTGCTAAGCAGAATGCCTACGGAAAGCTGTAGGAACTATATTGAGGGCAACAGGTGAGGGAAGGGTCAATGCCAGCAAACCCTCCCTGGAAGCTTAATAGAAAGGATCCCTGGGAAAAACCCGAACAGCCAGCCTGCCTTCAGGTAAAGAGGGGATAGCTTATTCCTAGGATGTACTGTGCCCTCCTTGAGCTGGTTTTAAAAGAAGCCTCCCCAGGAAAGGGATGTCTCTCGCACTTCACATGAAAGCCCTCTGCTTAAGCTGGATGCTCTTTACATTTCAAGACATTTTCCTGATTTCTCATGGTTTCACTTCCCCAAGCTCCTCCCTCTTCCCTCTGATAGAGCACCACAACCCAACTGCTCCTCAGAGCCTACAGACTCCAAAATCATCTCTGTTGCACGTTGCAATGCAGAGAGTTGGGCTTCTGATCAACCTGAAGAGTATTAAGTTCTCAAGGCCCAAGGAAGGTGGAAAGCCCACTCCCAAGGTCTTGGCTTTGACTGCAGGAACCAGGCAGCCACAGCTGAGCTTTCCAGCCAAGACACCCTCACCAGTGCCCTCATGACTTGATTTCCTTCCTGGTACCTTCTTCCCTCTTCAGCAAAACCTTCAGGCTCAGAACTGTGCAGGGACAGCCCCATGGCAGGCAGCTAGGTGAGTAATCAAGTCTTCATCACGGTACCACTGAGACAACCCTTTAAAACACTAATATCAGCAGGAGCTTAATGCAGATTTATTCCATATTCACTTAAACACCTGTGCCCAGCGGTCCTGGAGCTAGGGAATGCACACCAGGGTTCGCTAGCAGCTTCTGTGCAGAGCTGGATTTCCCCTGGAAAGAAGGGGTCCAGGGAGGTGAACACGCAGTGACCCCGCAGAAGTCTCCCCTGGGAGCTGCAGGACCTGGCTGCCCTTGGGACAGGGGCTGGCTGAGCGACTGGGGCTGTTTTGGAAATATTGACAAAAGCCAAGCTATCAATTCTAATGATCCCTGGGAACAGTTTCCCACATGGAGAACGTCACTCCGATCATTAGAGCTGGCACGCTGTTCGTTTTTCTCCTCCACGACTCGGTGCTAGACAAGACCTCTGCCCATGTTTGTCTACAGAGGAAAAATGATGCTGCTCCCAGACACTCCCTCCCTTCACGGGTGTTTTGTTTTACTCGCTGCTTCCCCCAGATATATCACCTTGCATTTTTTAAATTTACTTGCTGCCTCTGCTCCTAGTCTAAGTGTAACTTATTTTCTCTGCCCTTCCTTTTTGCCTCGGCATGCAACACCTCGGAACCTGCCGTTTGCCCCTGAAGTTCCAATACTTCCTTCAGCCCCTATTTTGGTATCGGGTGGGTTTTTGGTAGCTATAGAAACACGAAAAAGCCTTAGCAACTGATGGCGGCCAGCAAGGAAAGCAACCGGTGCTGCCATGGTAACTTGTGGCATTAGAACAGTTTCTTGAAAGCTCTTGCTCATTTTCTCAGGCAGATGTGTCAACAGGCTGCAAAAGAAGTCCCAGAGGAGGGGATGTGATGGGAAGGCTCAGCCCTGGTGGGGGACCTCACCTGGGGAGTGCTGCAGGAGCCTTCCAGCACCATCTCTGTAGTCTCTCCCGGCATCAGCTCTACCCTCACTGGTCGAAGGTTAAACACAGGGCAGGCAGGTTTGGGCCTCTGGGAAGGATCTTTGCCCTTGGTGCTGCCGATGGCAGGGAGAGGATCACACCGGCGAAACGGGGAGAAACCTTCTGTTGTCCAATAGAGCAGATGGGTGCGTTGTCCTTTGTTTGTTATGTTGAAGCGGTAACAGCAGGGATTCAGGCTAGAGGAGAAGCAGAGGCAGAAACTGTCAGAGGAGCTGCCATTTCCCAGTGGTCACCCACCTTCAGCACC